CGTGGGTACTGCTGAATCGCGAGGGCAGAGTGAAAGACATCAAAATTGGAGGCAACTATTTGAGTGCAAAGATGAAAGAGCTGGTCAAGGAAAATTTTGCTGGACTTGCGGCTGTTGACTTGGATAGGTAGGTTAAGTACCAAAGCACTTTATCCCGCATGTAGGTTGTGTGCATTGAATACTGAATGTAAACTCAGAAGTGTGTGGTCAGGTAAAACCCAGATAGAGCGAAACAATTCAAATTTTAGCCACGCGACAAAGGATTCAAAATTTACCACTTATACTTTAGCTATTTGCTTCGGATCATTCATTAAAACAAAAGTATGAGGAGTGAACTTGCTACGAATGTAAGGCCTGCAATGGAGTTAAATCTGCACGTAATATACTAAAACAGCACCTGTTATAACACATGTAAGGGTGGGCCGAAAGTTATCCAGATCCACCCCATTTAGCGTCATTTCACGCAACGTCATCAAAATTAAAAAGAAAGGAATTATCAGTCGTTACTCGGAGACTTGCATTTAAACAGATTTTCAGTTTGATCGGAATACTTCTCGCTCTAAACTACGCACAGATCTGAATCTTACCGAGACTGTATCGATATTTAACTTATTTTATCTCTTTGATTCTTGACTTTACCTGTGCAATGGTTTTGGTGATGGCTACACAATGAAAACTGGCAATTGGTAAAAGTATTTAATGAAGGAAAGCAGGAACCTTAACTGGAATTTCCAGATTGACAGAAGGCTAACCATTGAGGCAGGGGGAGTGGGTAAAGGAGTAGAGGGGAATATGGACTGGAATAAAACATGCCAAACAAGTCTAGAAACTTATCATTGATCATCTCTATTTAAATTTGCCACATACTGTATTTACTATTTAGTGAATTGAAATTTTATTTCTTATAGCTACTGTAAACTGTATGTAGTGTCAATGTTGAACTTTCCTTTCCATAGAATTCGTCTATACAAGTCCACTGGCCGTGTGAGCAAAATGGAAAAAGTTTACAGAGGCATACCAGACACCAAGGAAATATTTAGAATTTATGGCAAGGGGAGTTCCAATTCCAGGCGCATATACATGGTTTTGCAACGCCCGAGAAGTGGAGGTTAGTGTAAACTTTCATAATCAATCAAGAGTTTGTGTCATTGCAGTCAGCACCAAAAGATCGCATTGAGTGCATACACATTTGTGTCATATGACCCATAAGTAAAAATAGTAAAAGCCAATTTTGGCAAAGCCTCAAGATAACTGTGCTGCAAAGACAGGTCTTTAGCAAATTTGCATATTGACATGAATGTAACTGTAGTGGAGTAAAATATATGGCTGCAGTACCCACAAATGCCTGTTAGAATTGCAATAACACACTTAAAAAACAAAATGAAACATGCGTTGTGGAAATAACAGCCTCCTTAGAGTGGCAATACATTTCCGCCGCAATTAAAAAGAAAATCACCAGTGGTCTTTGAAAGACAAAAGCAACAACATAATCTAATTAATCTGCAGAGAAATAAAAACTTTGATATTTAAATTCTAACTTTTCAATATTTACCCTTTTTATGTTTATTACCATTGATTGGCCTACTGGCAATAAGGATCTCTGCCTCTAAAAATTTTCAGTATTTGTCTGTCATAGATTTATCAATAGAAAACAAGTAATCATCACATCTTTCCACTATTTAAATGGTAATTCAAACGGCTGATTAAAATTCTTTATTTTATTTTTCATCTCAGGATCTCACCCAAATCCCAGCTCATCTCAAACAAGTGTAACAAACTCAGTCATCCAGCCAGAGACTTCCAGTGATGAAACAAGGGTGGCAAGTGGTGTTATTAATCAAGTGGAATTGACATTGCCTACAAGTGAATGTAAGTGTTTGATTGATTTGCACACTAGTTATAAACTTAGTTAATGTTTTTTATTCAATCGTCCATTTTTCATCTTGACTGGAAGCAGGTGACCCATCTGCCCGTATATGATTATGATGTGACACAATTCAAACTGTGTTGTGTTGTTTTTTTGAACAGATGGTGTTTCTGCTTTTGATGACATGGATAACAGTGACCTCGACAGGAGCTATTTAACTGGTAACCCAGTAAATGTTGATTCAGGTAATACCGTGGTGAATGATTAAAGAGCATCAAAGTGCTGATTTTTTATTTTTCCTCTAGCCTCCCCCCCCCCTCCCCCTCTCCCCGATTATGATCTTTGGCTATTGCAGACCACAAACCCAATCCTGATTGGAATATCTAATAGTTATCTCTGGGGTGGGTAAGGATATTTTCTGAAAAAGGCATGCACATAACGCTAGAAATCAATTTTAAAACTGCAGATAGTTTACATAGATGATTTCAAATTGTGTCATATATTACCTTCCTATGATCTCATAGAAATTAATGGCTCTAAGGTTAGTGCCGTTAGTGTCATGAAATTACTGGGTGTGTATTTTCAAGACAACCTCAAGTGGAACACTCACATTCGTAGCATGAAGGAATGCACAATAAGTAAGGGTCTCGATATTCATTCAATTTTGTGCCATTACATTTAAGCTGGGGTTGTAGAAGAGGATATGAGTTCCTTAGGAGTTGTGGATCTGAATACTAGAGGTATGTTGGAAATATTGTCAATAACTTAATGCAATTACATGCAGGGCTCTCACTGGTGATGACATTAGATAAATTTCAACCAGATACAAAAACAATATTCTTGCCAAAAGTAGCATTTGAACCTAAAATAGAAAGCTTAACCTTGCTTATGTCCTATGTAGCTGATTCATGTTTCAAACTACAGCAAGAGTTGGGGAATGAAAAAACAAAACCAACCCTTAGAAGATTTTGGCACAGGTCCTTAATGGATGACAGTTCAATTGAACACCGTTACTATTTGTAAATAATAATATTGCATAAAACAAATAACAAAAGTATTAGAAATCTGGAATTGGCGTCTAAAATATACTTGTGTTATTTCAAGAAGGCAACTGGAAGAAGAGTTTGAAAAAACCCAACCCTTAAAAGATTTTGGCACAGATGCCCTTAAAGGATGACAGTTTGAATGAATACCATTACTATTTGTAGACCACAATCATAATAATTTTGTAGTGCCATGGAGTGTGGACAGAGCACAGGATGTGCTTTACTGTGAACAGGTGCTGATAGAGGTAGCATCAGCCCATGAGGATATTCTCCTACCAATCTTTTTGAACTTGACATATGAGGAAGTTTGTGTTAAATAGCATTCAATTTGGTTCCAGTTATGTCTGCCCAGATGGCTTGCAATTTTCAAGGAAACTGTTGTAAATAAATACAGTTAGCATGCCTAGGTGTCAATGTGTTGAGTTACTGAGAGGTAAAATATATTAGCAGTGACATTTGAAATAAAACTAGCCTGTAAACTTTTGTGAAGCCACATTTGTCATATGTCAATTTCACTTGCTGAGGAACAGACCCATTTGGAAAAGTATACTAAAGTTACTGTCTGTCAACTTTAATTTCTCTAGGTGACATATAGTCCTATTGCTTGCATCGTAACAATGCACTGTGTTGCATCATAACACCAAAAGAAATAACATTAAATGTAACTCTACTTTAATTGATAGATTTGTGTATTTAGATGTGTCACCAGGCCAGGTCTGATTAGAGAAGCATGCAGGTTACAGTGATCCTACAAGAAGGTGACAACATAGCTGATGTGATAAGGTGATTATCAATAGTTAATAAAAGGTTATTTTTATCTCTAAAAGCAGGCTGCACTCTGCAGAAACAGCTTCTGATTACACTAAGTCACAGCAACAAAATAAGTAGGATAATATCATAGTTCATAATGGTTAATTTTCCTTATGGAGAGACATATGCATGAACCGTGCCTTAAAACTTTTCTGTGTATATAACTTAAAAACACATGAGGAGACATCAAAAGTTACCATGGTGACCTGGTGCAATGTGTACCCACATGACAATTTTTTTGTACATACAAGGTTACTCCAACTGACTGGTTTCTGTGTTTTCAAACCTACAGTACATTATAATTTGAAATACAAACATCATTCACAAACATCACAAAGGTATTCAAGATTTTTAATATCCACTGTATGATGCATGCATACTATAGTATTTCACATTAAGTAGTACTATTTAATTTATTAATCAAAAATGTTTATCTCTCCATCAAATCATCAGAATTCTGAATATTGTACATGAAATCAATCATGGAAACTTATACTTTTGGATAACTAAAGAAAAATCCAGATCTGGGAGAGAAGGTATTGAATTACTATCCGTATTACGGATGTTTACTAATGTGACCGATTCAGGTTCTGATGTTGTTATTTGAACAACGAGACAGACTTATAGCCACAATAAAATTTATTTATACAGGAAAGTACAAAAGAAATAGTACTGATAAAAAGAAAGGGTGATTGCAAGCAAATCCTCAGTAAAATAGGTCACTAACTTGAGGTTGCATGTACTGGAGTTACTTTTTCTGTGACCAAGAGGTTCTGAGCTTGTAAGTGCGGGTCTTGACACTCTGAACTACTGAGTTAAACTAACTAACTGTACTTCTTTTATAAGGAATCGAACAATAGCAGGAAATTCTCTAAAATTTTGGAAGTTAGGTGTGATCATTCTAAAGGAAATTTATGATGCAAATCCTGTGTGTATGATAATTTGGTTATCATAGGAAATAGTTAGGTGTGATGGTGCGAAAGGAAATTTATGATGCAAATCCTGTGTGTATGATAATTTAGTTATCATAGGAAATAGTTTCTGAAGATGTAATTCTAAAATTATAACAAAAAATATTGCAATGTCATGCACAATTGTGAGCCTGGTCACACTAAGATATGAGACACACTGAATTAACAAAAAGGTCAAAGTTAAAAAAGTTTCCTAAGTCTTAATGGCTAAACATCAATATTGTAATGTATATCACACTTTAGTAATATTTTAGAATGGATGCATCTGAAGTACTGATATTATGTACTGTAAAGAGTGTGTGCATAAATATGTTTCTTCATTATTAAGGGATGTTGACATCTCCTGTTCCCTTCCAGGATGTACTTAAAATAGAGTGTTTTACTTTCTGCAGTACTGTCCAAATCAAAATATTCTGTTATCTTCTAGTCTATGTTGTTTTTCATTATGCTATATTTAGTGCCCCATAACAACTTCTACGCACCAATAATAGATGCAATAATGCTCATAATTATCAATGTTCTCAAACTCTTCTTACCATTTTATGTTACTTTTTATGACAGTGAAAAGAAAATTTGGAAGTGCAGGGTCCGATTTACTCATAATCTAATCATGTATCTAATACCGCAGTTCAAAATATATGAACTTCATATATTTCATTGAAGGGAATTTTGTATTGATAATAGTAATAAGCTTTTCTTGGCAAATAACATTCAGTTTGGAATGTTCAAAAAGGATCCCATGCCTTCAAGTCAGTCTGTATTCATTCAATTTTAATGTCATCACTATGTGTGGGCACAAGTCAAAACAAACAATAAACATAAGGAGGTTTGAGGAAAAACTCCCATTGCTTTAAAAGTGCTTCCCTTACCTTAAGTCTTATATTAATTCAAAGATAATGTACTCTTTAATAATTTTAAGGTTGACTTGCAGTCATGTATAATATCCCAAGTCATCATCAGGCACCGGTGTAATACCTACATACCAGTTTGACCTTGCATAAATTTTGCCACTTTTTGGTAAATTGTTTTAATAATTATTGTCTTTTTGGCCCCTTTTTAAAAATTGAACATCATGGGTTAATATTGATCTGATTTGACTTAAAGATGGCTGGAAACAAAATTGTTTAATTTTCGATTCTTATAACAAGGGGACAACCTAAAATTAGCAACAAAGGAAGATGTGGTGGATGCAGTAAAAAGGGCGGCAGATGCTGTGGATGCATTCACGAGGGAATGGTAAGAGGTCTTTAATATTCGATAAGATAAAGGTAGAAATATTTCCAGCTTGTTACCCATTGACAACCTTATGATCTTAAAAAAAATTTTCATAAACTCATATAGCTGACATCTGATGTGTTATTCACACATCAGATACTAAGCTGCGTCAAACAATGTCTTGCTCACAATTAACACACATTAAAAAAACCCAGGTGTATGCAAATTTTGTGGTTAATATGTTTTTATTATCCAGACAGCTGCAGCAAATCAAAGTGAATGATGGTGAGATTCACAACAAGTTATGCATTGTTTCCAATAGGGAGAGGTTAGAGCAGGATCTTTCACTTAAGAGGGAGCAGGAGAGTGCATTGCAAAAGGCAATAGAGGATGACAAGGTAAATCGCTTTTCCCAAATACTTATATTGCACAAATAATACCAATATCACTACCTGTTGCAAAAAAACTAAAAGAAAGAACACATTAGAAGAAAGTCAGGCAATGAAATGAGGATTATTATTAGAAGGCTTCCTTTAAGACTTCAGGAGCCAAAACAAGCACCAGCCATCAAAGTATGGCCCAAATTTCAGAGACATATCCCCAAACAGGAAAGGAAATGAGTGAAATGATTAAGTGATTCAGCATAAATAATACTTGTTACCAATAAAACTGCTATAATTACCACTTTCTCTGTTAAGATTTAGCAGCAGCAATTTCAAGATCTTTTTTCTACATTATCAGTGAAATATTACTGAAATTGTCAGTATTTATTCTTTCAGATTAAAGAATCAAGCAAGATAAGTGAGGCCCAACAACCCAGAGATACCTTAGAATCATTTCCTCCATCTCCTTAGCAGCGTAAAAATATTATTTCCCCCTCTCGTGTTCTTTTTAAAATTTAAAAAATGTCCTGAGTGCACGACGACAAGTTTGCTAGAACACTAGCACTCTCGCTCGCCCCGGGCTCCCTCCCGTGTTGAGCCTCGATTGAAAAATCGAGGCATGATTTGAAAATCGAGGCTCGATTGCAAAATCGAGGCAAGATTGTAAAATTGAGGCTCGATTGGATAATCGAGGCTCGTATGTCGAAGCTTGCCAAAACGAGGAATCGTGGTCGTTTTTGATGAGGGGCTTTTGGGCTCGTTTCCCAGAAACCTTGAATGATCCGAAAAACGTGTGGGAGGCTAAGAAAGTGCCCTTTCTTCATGTGGCCCCTTTAGGTAGGGTTTATTCACGGTCCCGATCCTGTTGTAAACAATCAATTAAACGAGTATAAGCTAATCTGCTTAGTTGTGGGTTCGAGCCCCAGACCGGACCAACACTCAATAATAATTGAGGAGAATGTGCTGCCTTTGCTATGATATCTGCAAATGGTTAGACATTCTAGTCTTCTCGGATAAGAACGAAAAACCGTAGGGCCCTTCTCCTGAATCTTCTCTGTACTGGTTAGCAGGGGACATTAAGAGCCCACACATTTATCGCAAAGAGTAGGGGAGTTAGCCCCCGGTGTTGTGGTCTGGCCTGTTTACTGAAATTGGGAGCATCTGTTAAAATTTGTCTTCACAAAAAATTGTAAACTGCTGCAAGCAGTCTATTAAGTCCCCCGCAAAAAATTGTAATGCGCATTTGATCATACTCCAATGTTAATTTGCGCAATGTAAATGTTAAATTGTTATTGTTATTATGGTGAGTCGTACGTTTTATCTAAATCCTTTCGCCCTTACATCTGTATGCATGTTCTTCATACTGCTCCTTTTATATTTCCTATGGTACTGACAAGGAAATTTTGTTTAACAATCATGAGATTCTTTAAATTAATGTTTGATTCAGCAGTGAAGCTGAGAAACTATATCCCAGTCATCGTAAGACTTTGAGGGTTAAACGATTAACGGGTCTTCGGATTTCCTCATAGGAACGAAATGGTCAGCTGACAAGCCTTCAGTTGGTTGGAATGGCCAGAGGTGTGGCTAACGGAATGAAGTACCTGTCAGAATTAAATTTCATACATAGGGTATATATTATCTTCATATTTTATTTTCATCGTTAATATAGTTGAAATTTACCTTTACACTTGTGTATCTTAGTATTGGTACAAAACAATACGTGGTTGTTCGCCCATTGTTTCCAGTTGGGTTTGGAGTTTGGAATCAGTTAACTTATTTAGAGGGAGGAAAAACATAAAACCCGGTGACTGACACTATCGTATCAAACAGGAGAACCAACCAAATGTTTAATTCTCATATGACATCAGCTGTAGGAGGAAACGCGCGCCGCAGAAGTGTGAGATCAGCGTCCATCCCAGGATCGTTAAATAGCTTCAGTTTCAATGAGATAACCTTCAAATAAAAGTGATGAATTCAAGGGTGTTATTCTTCAAGATCCAAACGCATGTGGCGTTATTCTGCATTTATATGTTTTCAATTTTGCTGTTATAGCTAAAAATTGATTGAATATTAAAAAGTTGTTACTATGTTTGTCTTAACTTAGGATCTGGCAGCTCGCAATGTTCTTGTGGGTGAAAACATGTTGTGTAAAGTATCAGATTTTGGCCTTTCAAGAGAACTGGCTGACGACGATGAAGCACAAGCTGAATACACGACACAAGTAATTTTTGNACAATAGCTTCAGTTTCAATGAGATAACCTTCAAATAAAAGTGATGAATTCAAGGGCTTTATACTTCAAGATCCAAACGCATGTGGCGTTATTCTGCATTTATATGTTTTCAATTTTGCTGTTATAGCTAAAAATTGATTGAATATTAAAAAGTTGTTACTATGTTTGTCTTAACTTAGGATCTGGCAGCTCGCAATGTTCTTGTGGGTGAAAACATGTTGTGTAAAGTATCAGATTTTGGCCTTTCAAGAGAACTGGCTGACGACGATGAAGCACAAGCTGAATACACGACACAAGTAATTTTTGACTTAAATCGACAATTACGTTAAGTTATACGCTAACGTTTATGATAAGTGTCACGTAAAAAATGATGACAGACACGATCACCTTTTCCTTTTTCACACTCTTGCCTTTTTTATGTGTAATTTATGCCACCCACTGAAGCTGGCAGTATTCCCCGCTCTTCTTTGTTTGCTTTCTGTTGAAGTGAAAGACTTCCTAAGATTTAAGACTGAAAAGTGCCCCTGAGATCAAATTTTTCATTTCATTGTTTCCATTTCCTGGTACATTGTGACTTTCTCACCTAACCTGCCAACTTCCAATCCGTTACGAGAGACAAAAGTGTATTTGGACCGTTCCATTCGAGATTTCGCAGTCGCCATTATTTGACTATGTTCCGAAGGTTCATCTGAAGGCTAGGTGTGATGTGAAAAAAGGTGACTCACAAGGTGCGGTCCCACTTTGTTCCCGCTGATCAGGTCTCCTGTTAATCTTATGTACCTTTCCAACACCCTTTGCTAAAGGCGAGCACAAAGCGAAGGTGTAGAGTTTTAGTGAAAACACGTGACCTACATCCTTTTAAAATACATGTCTTTGTCTCAATTACTCTTAAGGGGGGCAAGATTCCAGTTCGTTGGACAGCCCCAGAGGCACTTCAGCATCGGACCTTCAGTTCAGCCAGTGATGTTTGGAGCTTCGGCATTCTAATGTGGGAGATCATGTCATACTGTGACAGACCTTACTGGAATTGGGACAATTTCGATGTAAGTGATCCCGCTTAAAAACGAATATTTTCATGAACTGTGCAGAAAAGAGCCTAAACGAATGATCGGTTCATAACAGCGACAATTTCTTGTTGACGAGAACTTCAACTTACAAAGTTCGTAATTTTTGGACAGTGTCAGTGGTGGAGTCGCAAAAAACGGCACGGGACGGTCAAAACAAAGAAAACATAAACGACTTTTGTGAGTTGACCGTACTACAAACAGTTTCCTTTCTTTCTAGGCTCTTGAATGAACAAGTCATTCTGGATTCTTAACAAAGCGAAATCTTTCTGTTCTATATTAAATCTTCTATTGATTAGGTTCGTTCGGTCAAGATGGCTGAACATTAGCCTCGTTCTGATGGACCTCAACTTAGTCCGGGTCCATAAAAAGGCAAAAATAGGACTTGGCCAATATCCAGCAATCTTGACCACACGTTTGGTCAATAACACGTATGTATTACATAGTGACTTTGTAAAGTAAATCTTATTAGATAAAAGTTATCATTTTTTCCAAGGTTATCAAGCGAGTGGAAACTGGATACAGATTACCAGCTCCACAGGTACATCTTGCAGTAACAAACGTGACTACTGAATATGACTTTTCCTTTACAGTAAAAACAAAGTAAATTTCATTGGGTTTTTGTCGTTATCAT